AACTGAATTACAAAAGTAATCAATGAATTATCAATTATCTTACTTCTAGTGCTCTCAGCAGTGCTCTGGACTTCGGCGAGCGTTTCGTCCGCCTCCAATACAAAATACGGCACCTTGTGACCCTTAGACGAGCCACTGGATTTGCCAACTGATCCCACCACACTTTCCGACGAAATACTTGTACCAATTCTGGATTTGATGGTCGCCGCACTTATGGCCCTTCCAAGCTTGGAGACTCCGTCTCCGTCGGAGGCATGCCGAGGGTGCTTATGGTGCTTATTGTCGATTTGCGTCGTTCGGCAACTTATAAAGGATAATACGTCATAAAATTTAGTGCAATTAAATTGAAAGAAAATCTCTGGCAACTAAAAATCAAGTTGAAGTTAGAATCGAATAAGAGTATGGTATGAATCCAATAACAATCTAGTAATCCCATAAAGAATCTAGTAAAATCAAATAAAAATGTAGCAAGAACTCAGTAGCACATTCTGGCGAGAATCTGGTAAGAATCCAATAAGATTATGTTGAGAATCTTATAAAAGTCTAGTAAGTAATCTTATAAGAATCTGGTAATAAGCTCATGAGATGCTTGTTATAACCTGATCAGAAACCACTAAGCAATAACATCATATGTGCTATTAAATTGAAAGAAAATCTTTCAATAAAATTCAATAAAAATCTAGCAAAAATCCAGTCCGAATCCCAGTATAACTTAACGAGAATCGAATAAGGCCCCGATGAGAATCTAATTGGATACTAGTGAGAATCTTATAATAATCTACTAGGTAATCTTATGAGAATTTGACATGAATCTTAAGAGAAACTAGTTAGAACCTGGTTGGAAGCTTCTTAGAATATTTAGAATCAATTTGGAGTTTAAATAAAAACTACACAGAGTCTAAATAAATTCAAGTCAGATTCAAATTAGAATCTCTTTGCAAACACGTAAATCTATAATATAAAAATGAATCGTTAAATCTATTGGTAAGCGTATAACTCAACAACTCCTAGACCAATTTGGCCAATTCTTTTTTTTAAAATGTTCGTTGAAGTCCAAGGATGGTTCTTACGGCGAAAAAAATTGAATAATTGCCGGAAAAACCCTAAAAACAACCCTTTTTCACATACAAACGTTAGTATTTTCACATTTTTGCCATCGGATATGGAATATTTACTCAAGTCAATGGAGCGTTTTGGGTCTGAATTTTTTTACTGTGCTCCAATTCGTATGAAATTTTGAAATTAGATTTATCTTACTCTCAAGTTCAAAAGTGAAAATAATTTAGATTCCTTTGCCATTTCCCTGGGAAATGACATCCTCCTCATTTTTTTTCTTTTCAAAAGAACTTCGGATATCGATAAAAGAACTAATTATAAGAAAAAAATATTTTATAATGTTTTTCAAAAAAGCAAATACTCATCATTTTATTTAAAGCAGTTGTGCATTCAAAATCCATATGGGTGGATGTATATTCATTTGGGTATAGACTGTAGTGTAACAAAAAACATAATAATGTTTAACTAATTGGTAAATATCGGAATAGGTTACTAAAAAAAAATTGGAACTTTTGAATTGTAAACATAAGTACAGGACAACGCCTGTTGGGTCATCTAGTTAATCATAAAAAACAATTAGCGCAATTTGCAAATATCCAATTTTCAATTTTCAAAATCGTATCATCATATTTTTCCAAACGTAACGTATGTTTTATTTTTTATCAATTTTAGTCATCGTCTAGAATATTTTTATCAAACAAATTTAGTGCACATAGTTATATAAAAAATTGTTTCGACATACAAAGTAAATAACGTCCATCGATTTACCTATATCTTATCAAAATTGATAAGAAATATCGCACAAAATCCCATACAAAACGTGTGATGTTCACAGGTCGATTATCTTGAATTTTTTTAATGCAACACTTACGCAACTATCTATGCAGAATATTACCTTAAATTATAAATATACTTTTATTCAACTTACTTGAGGTAGATTGTATTCTAGAAACCGATCTGATCAATGATGATCTCCGCTCTGCAGACATTCTTGCCCTCAAACTGCTGTGTCTGCCTTCTGAAAATAAAATAAAAAAATTAAAAAAACGTTAATAAGACGTACATTCTGCTTGGCAAAAATTGCTATACCTGTCTCAACAGTCTCTTCAGGCTCTTCTTTGCTGGAAAATAATGAAACCTGAGTTTCTCCATGTTTTCTTTTTCTACTGGCCTTAAAATAAAAATGTATAGGATATTTTGAAATTGTTCCATGTTTTACTTATACAAGATATAATATTTATTATCATATTCACTTACAGCAATTCGTTCAGACTTCAAAATACTGCCAGATTTTTTTTGATCTCCATCTTCTTCATCAACTCTATCAACATCCCCTGAACCTTCCTCCATATAGTCCGTTTCTCGATTTTGTTCCTCCAAAACTTCACCATGTCTGTTTGGGTTCTCCCAAACATTGCTTTCATTAAAATCGTTGTTTTTCATTTTAATTTGTACCTCAGCCAAATAAATATTAGAACCGAATGGGGTATGTATAAATTTTAGGATTTTGGACCCTATAACTTAGGCCTAGAATTAGACATACCCACACCGCACTCCACTCCTAACACTAACTAAATAATAACGCTAAATATATATCAAAAATAATTTACATTGTTTGTTTTTGTTTTTTTCAACCCGTGCATACTAGGATCAAAAAAAATTGTTTTGAAATAATTTATTCTACAAAGGTAAATGAAATAGAATAGTTTCACGTGAAAACTCTCATATAAAAAGTGTGCAATTGGTTTCAAACAAATATTTACCAAAAATAACAAAATTTAATTTTTAAATTTTTTTTACAGTATGCTAAAGATTTTAATTAGATTCTGGTAAGATTTTACAGTATATGCTAAAGATTCAAATTAGATTTCGGTAAGGATCTAATAAAATCTTATGAGATTCTGGTACGAATCCAATCAGATCCTAGTTAGAACTTTATAAGACTAATACGTGAAATTTCCAAATATTTCTCGGACGATTTTTCAAATTTCTTTTCAAAATATATTTTCATACGCCACTGATATGGTCAAACGCCGCCACTGGCTCCGCCCCTTCTTCAAAAATCGAATGATAAGTGCACACGGCACATTTTATCTGCCCTTATCAATCCTTATCACTAAAACAGTCCTATAAATACACGATATGCAATTTCCACATACATATTGTATCATAATTTGAGAGAGTTGTTCCAAGACCTCATATTGTAAGTTGTATTTTTTAATTTTTATTATTAAAATTAATCAGTATTTTAGTTTGTTGTATCTACTTGTAGTATTGAAAATTTTCAGAATCCATCGTTATAGAAAGAAGATCCACAGACGATGTTTTATAATGTAGTCCCAAGTGGTTAGAAGTACATAGATCAATACGTTTTGAAAAACATGCAAGCATTTTTTGCTTTGTTATACCAATTTGTATACCATTGCACTTGCCTGTTTTGCGATTGAACTATGTCCTTGTGACCTGTTGTGGCTGCAAATATCTTCGAGACTCAAGAATTATTTTAATGTATTATATTTATTTACAAGGCTGATGTAAATGCAGTTTTAAATGGTTATAAAAATATTATTCAATATTTTTTATTAAAATTGCAAGAATTATTTGGTTTGCACTCGCATTTTTATGATTGAACAATATTTTTATATCCTGTTATGTCTGCACATAATGTTCAGTAGTAAATTTGTGTATAAAATTATATATATATATATATATATATATATATTTATATAATAAATATGAACAATACAACACTCAGATTTTTAACACACATTTTGTGTACACACGAAGTGTGTTAAAAATCTGAGTGTTGTATTGTTCATATGTTACATTTAATATTCATTCCACTCATATCACAAAATTCATATATATATATATATATATATATATATATATATATATATATATAACATGAATTCTTTGTTATATATAATATGATTTATAAGATATCATAGCATGCTACGATATCTTATCTATATTTTTGTAGATTAAAATTGATATTCACATGCTTTGCACATAAAATAAAGAAAAATTCTTAAAAATTTTATCTAGTATTATTTTCTTTGAATATGAACTTTTTCATTGTAAAATTGTACATTTTTATTATTAAAATTTTAATTTTCAGCTTTTTTCTCAGAATTAATTTATAAACTGTCATTCTGTATCAAAAAGTAAAACAAAAACTGGTAAGCGATTAGGTAATTAAGTACTTATAACTTTTATATAAAAACCAATTCTAAACTGGACTTGATTATTAACTGAACACAAATATAAAATTCAAATTCAGTTGATTCATTCAGCTCATTTTGCATTTTTAACTTGTTAAAAGTGCCTCTAATGTGGCTTGCATTTTTCTCTTGCTTTTTATTTTTAGAGTTCTTAAGAACACTTCAACTTGTTCTTGAAACCTTATCAATAATTACAATATTTTCTACAAATTTGTGTAAAATTTCAGTCACAGTGGTCTTATTTGCTCTTTGAAGTCAACACAAAATTTCAATCAAGAAAATATATAAATTGATTTATTTTTAATTATATAGTATATCAAATACATCAATTTTTTATAGTTGATTGGGAATTGAGGAAAGGATCAATATTATCCAAAAATTTGTTTTTCTATAAAAAGTGTATTTATATAAATCTTTGTAGATAAAATTCATGTAATCACAAGACTTAAGAATTAAGAATAACCTATACACTACATACTATAATTTATCAAACATCTTGTATGAATAAAAAAACATTCAAAGCATGAAATATTTAGCTATCACAAACAATATATAAATGATTAAATTATAAGCCCTTAAAATTAAAAATAATATCATGGTAAGTTATTCAGATTTTTATAAACTACAAGCCAAGGCATGTAAGTCATAAAAACCACATTTGTTCACTAGCATTCATTCCTCCAAGAATCATCAATAGTTAATATAAAATTCATTTACGAGATAAGAATAAACTTATGTTTAAACGAGAGGGTAGCTGGCTTGGGTAGCAACTCCGCAATGATTTTCCTTGTTACGAGCCATACGGATGTATCCCTTGTCTCCCCAGCTCTCGCCCCAAGAGTTCTTAACCAACCAGTAATCGTTGCCGTCTTCATCGGTACCGTAACCAACAGCCAAAACCTAAAAAAGATAAATGACAATAAACAAAAATTACAATTATTTGTAACTTTCTCGACTTATTGTGATTTATTACTTACACCATGGTCCAATTGTTCGCTATCACATTCGGGGTCGAAGTAGACACCTTCTGAGTAGAATTGGAAGGATTGGTGAGAAGCATCAATGGCAATGGAGACAGGCCCAACAGTAGCAATAGCTTCCATCAATTTACGTTCACTTCCTGATTCAATGTCTACGTAACCTTCATCAGTAGCTCCAGAGTTCTTGGGTTTGTAACGGCATTTATCATCCATACCTAAGGAAAGGAATAATTGAATTAAAATTGTTACACTGGATAATTTCTTTTAGTAAAGAATATCTAACAAAAAAAAAAAAATTAAAAGTAAAATGTGCTAAAAAGAAGCTACTATCAAACTACTATCCTAGTTACATCTATTTTATGTTACAAAAATAGATTTAGAGGCCGATTCTGCTGCACAACAGACTAATATTATGGCAAGGCCATGTTAGGCTCCAAGTTTCATACACTATGCTACTGAATCATAATGAATACTTTCAAAATGTCATGCATTTGCTGTGCATTCAGGCGTTTTACACATAAACTCGTATGTTATGAAACTGGGTCAAAAAGACCCTGTTATCTAACGTTTTTTTGACATTTATGCGGTTTTTAGACTTATTTGAACTTATTTGAAGTGTATTATTAAAAATCGTATTCAGATTGATTATTTTCAAAGTTTGATATCAAGCTGTCCAAGACGTTAATGGAACCTAAATCCTGTGGTCAGAACAACAAACTTATGTATTAAAATAATTACTTAAAACTAGTGGGGTGGGTGGCATCGTGCCTTAAGGCAAATTGCTGGAACTTCCCGTACCGTAACGAAATGTTCTAGAAATACTGAATGTTTTCAAATAAATTATTATAAATATTGTAACATTGTCTAATATTTATAAGAATTATATAAACTGAATTGCAGAGTTGAAATTATTTGTTTAAAGTATATTAGAACTATAGTCAGAATTAAAAATAAAATCTGAATTATTATTTTCGATATACAAAAAATTAAAAAAAAAAAAAATTGAAACAAAATTTTTTTTTTCCAAAATCAATTATTTTGTTAAGACAAGCAGAAAGTTCTTTGAATCAATTAAATCGGACGCTTAGTTCTCTCAAAAACTACCATTTTTTGTACATTTAGCTCTGTATCTCCGAAATGGCTTGGCCTACCTTTGCGAAAAACTAATAACCCCTTCTCCCAATCATTACTAATTGAATGTTTTTTAGATCATTCAAATCGGATGCTCCGTTCTCTCAAAAACTCGATTTCTATTTTCTGCATTCTTTGCTCGTTATCTCCGTACCTGCTGGACCTGCCTCTACCAAAAACTAATCAGCTCTTTTCCTTATCAATAGGAATCGAATGTGTTTTAAACCATTCAAATCGGTTGATCCGTACGCCCGAAAACGTGGGCGAAAATTTGTATCCATACATACATACATACATACATAGATACACACACACACACACACACACACACACACATCCATTTTTTCTAAGGTATGCCAAAATATTCAGAAACCTTTGAAACGTCGAGAAATGCAAACATTTTCATTTTCGATTTTTTGCGATTACTATAACTTGCATGAGATAAAATTACATAAGATAACAGCTAAGATGTATCTGATAGTATAATTTTCTTTAGGTTAGGTTTCCTAGAAAAATGCCTGGATGCACAGAAACCACAAGGCTTTTGTCAATATTTAGAACAAATTAGTATGGAAAGTTCTCCATAACATAGCCTTGCCATAACTTTGATCTGTTATGTGGCAGAATCGGTTCGTTATCTTATTACCTTCATATGGGTAAGATTTTTCAGTATCGATTCCATGATTTTCCTTGATGTATTGAAAAGCAGCATCCATCAAACCACCGTTGCAACCGTTGTTTCCGTAAGGAGTAGAGCAATCAACCAAATTTTGTTCAGACAAGGAAACCAATTTACCAGTTTGACGGAAGTGTTGGCCTTCTAAAGCACCAGTCTAAAAAGAACAATGATAGAAATTAAACAAATTAAATGATAATAAAATAAGATAAAATCTCTTAAAGAAAAGTTTATGTAGCTACCAAAAAGTATGAGAGGATCGATCAACATTAGTTTGTTTCTAGATTGTCTAAAAATATCATTATAATTACCGCTGAGAAACTCCAGCAAGATCCACAATGTCCTTGATCCTTGACAGGTGTGACTGCTCCTTTTTCACGCCAGTCAACATGTTTTGGCAATTCTACGTTGGCAGGAGAGATGAAAGTTGCTCCACGCAATTTTTCGACACCACCAAGACGAATGGCATTTGATCTAGGAAAAATAATTATTAATTATAGAAACCATATACAAGAAATTAATACCTGATTGGTTCTTTATCTATTTCTCTTACAGAGATAAATGTAAAATATCAATAAAAATCTTAGTTCTTATATCTGGTCTGGTTTTATAAGTTTTCACCATCATAGTGTTCTGATTTTTATCCCAACAATAATACAGAAAACTAAGAAATGATTTTATTAATTGCAGTAATTGATCCATTACCATTTTAGCAACAAAATGCTCAATTTTGTAAAAATTTTAAAGCTCTGGTTCTGACCCGGAAGAAAAAACTTATTATCAAGATTCTGGTAAAGTAAGTTAAAAAAGTTTGATGAAATAAAAAGGTTCATTATCTTACCTGGTCTTGTTGAATCCATTCAAAGTCTGGACGAATTCATGGTGCAACATATCAGCATATTTGTTGATACGTTGTTTGTAAGATTCCAAACCCATTTCATATCGTTGGTTATGTTTTGCAACTTTGTGTTTGTTTTCCATGAAGATCTTGAGACGGAACTTTTCTTCGGTTTCACTTTCATAGCGCTTCTTGTGGGCCAACTGTAAAAGAAAAGAATATAAATATTTTGAAATTTGAAAACTAGGTATCAAGTTAACTAGAATCAAGTAATAATTTAGTTGATTCATTTGGAATGGTATTTTAGTATGTAATTTATTTTTGTAATATTTTAAATTCCAGTTTTAATCAATTTGGAATTAAAATAGAATCTAACGAACCTAATAAGCATCTACGAAGAATCTATCAAGAACTTCGAACGTGTAAGAATCGAGCCAGTGAAATCAATAAGATCCTGGTAAAAATCTTATTTGATTATTTTATATGGTTCTCATTATATTCTGTTCAACTTCTTACTAGGTTCTTACCAGATTTTGCTTATTAAACTTATTTAAAGTGTATTACTTAAAATCGTATTCAGATCGATTATTTTCAAAGTTTGATATCAAGCTGTCCAAGACGTTAATGGAACCTAAAACTTGTGGTTAGAACAACAAGCTTATGTATTAAAATAATTACTTAAAATAAAAAAAAACATTGCATGTGATAAAATTACATAAGATAACAGCTAAGATGTATCTGGTAGTATAATTTTCTTGGTTGGATTTTAACTAAGTTATTTGTTCATAATAACTGTGTGACGCAATTTGAAGTTGTATTTCTAAATAATTTAACGATATCAAATATCTGCGCATTTTGCTAATTAGTTGCGATTACAAATGACCGATTTTTGCAAAAGAAAAAAAATACGAACGTAAACAGAAATATTGGAGCACGTGTATTGATAATAAACATTCGACATACACTTGATTTAAAATTGGTTCAAAATAAATTATGAAAGAATTTAGCAAAAATAATAATCGATTCATAAAATATGAAGGTAACCTCGTACTCAGAAATATTTTATCATCTCTAAAAAATGCAAATTTTGTATCAGATTTCATATTCTTAGAAATGCAGTTAACATTTGTAATGAAATTAGTAAAAATAGAAAGTGGATATAAATCTAGTCAACACAATTAATTATTCTACAAATTTATTTCGTGAAGGTATATAATTATTCTAAAAAAATTTAATTTGTATATTTGGCTCAAGAAGTTAGAAACTTTATAGTCCTGTTTGAATTATCCAGTATGTTGACCCAATTTACCAAAATATTTATCACATATCCATGTCAACAAAAAACATGTGTTCCATCTGTTTTATCTCAATGACCTCTCAAAAAAAAAAAAAAAGTCGAAATCAATTCGCAGCTCGTGTCCAAAAAAAATAATCACAACAAAAAGATAATATTATTGAGTGATTTTTCGTCATTTTGTTTATTTGTAAATAAATTGCGAAGATTCACTTTCGTCAGAGATAAGGGATAAGTGAAATATAAAAATTGTATTTGGATTTCGAAATAATTAGGCGATTTTCTGCAAATATTTTGGACTAGCAGAATTCCAAGGAAAGATAAAAGCAATGTTTTTTCTTAAAATTTGGAAATGTTTAATTCAACTTGGTTGATTGTTTTCCTGTACAATTTTAATTGGCAAAAATAAATGTTTACAAATAAAATAACTCTAAATCACCAATGGATGGCCGAAAATGACTATTGCACAAATGCACATTGAATCCGATTTTTTGTAAAGATTTTACTAAAAAAAAAATAATGTTTTACTAGCTAACTGTTAGGCTCTTTAGCAAAAGATAAGAATTTTTAAAATTCACTCTAATTGAAGCTATTTTAAGAGAAAGCTATTCAAAAAAATTTGGTGTAAAGATTGCAATTAAGAAACTTCCATATTAAGTGGACCCTTAACAAAACTTGACGATCGCATTCAAAAACTCCTCATATTTATTTACTGGGGAAAATAAAGGTTGCTAAAATCAAGTATACTTAAAATAGGTATATTCAACATTGTATTTCTTTATCCCTGGGTCAAACAAGAGGTCACAACAATTCAGTTATCTTTAAATTTCCGCATATATCGGTGTCCCTTTACAAAGAAAAGCAGTTTGAACCAGAATCACAATCTGAGGATAATTATTTGTATAAGATAGTACTATAATAATGAAGTCGTTTATTTGATTTCCTTATTTATCGGTCATTTTCTTTTCACTTGGTAATGTCTTATCATTTTAGAACAAAGTTCAAACGAATTCAGAGATCTAACTACGCATTTGTGACATGTAATTATATCAAATGAGTGCAAACGAGTCGTTAAACTATGATATGGAGCAAATTATAAAAGTTAGATAAAACAAATATAAAACGAATTCATAGAAGGATACAATTCATAGAAGGCTGGTGATTTGCGATGTGCGAATATTTAAATATTTAGAACAAAAACCTCAATTTTCCCTTGAAACACCAAACAGAATATTCTTGTAATGCTTATCTATCTGATCTAAACTTGGTTAAAATAAAGCCAGAAGGAAAAAAATTAGCACTTGTTTGTTTTCATAATTTTTGTTAATTTACCTAGTACGTTTTGGGGACAATCCAAAACAAAAAATCTAAATCAAAGGCAACGTTGCTTTTAGACAACCCCGGGACACAAGGTGGAAATCCAAGATTGTCCTAGCCAAAACAAGACGTATGATCACCTTATAAATATTTACAACAGCAAGTACCTAATTTGCGTTTAGTTATCACCAAAAATAAAATCTCAGATATTAAGATAACTCATAATTATATTATACAAGAATATACAAATTATGAAGTTCAATTATCATTTGCCAAAGAGATAGTTTTACCACCAATGTATATAAATGATACTTTGAATATAATAGCGCATAAATTATTACATGGAGATAAAATGTTGATCTCTGGTTCAAATATTGTAAAAATGCGTAGTACGGAATTTAGAGATAAGAAACAAAATGTCATCCATCAGCGTCAAGGATGGACGAGATTCTGCAAATATAACCAGGAAATTGCATTAGAAACAAATGACGTGGAGATAACCATTATATAGTAAAAAAATAATTATAATAGTAACAATTGATCGATTGTATCATAATAGATGGCTTAAGGAAAATACAGATATATTTAAAAAAAATAGAATTACAATTATGTACGAGAGCACTCTTCAGCAAATGCTAAATAATATATGAAAGCTTAATTTAGTTTAAAAAAACGGTAGTTATATGCTCATAAAAAATGATAAATTTAATTATTATTTAGATAGCAACATGTTTCCAAGTGAAAATAGCCCTTAATCAGGCATTGGTCTAATAAAAAGTAAGCGCTATTAGATAAATTTCAATAATAAAATTATTATCAAAAATGGATGGATTAACTATAGATGATTTGATATGGTAATCATTGGGTTACCATCTAAAAATACGATGTAAAGAAAAGTTTCAGCCCAACATGAGATAAGAGAACAAAAAAATAGTAATATGTGGCTTATTGATTTGCAGTAATCAAGAATTGCTTTCATCATTATAAACTTAGACAGATAGTATTAATAAATTTGTTTTACCTTGAATGAACTCCATTCTTCCTTCACCAAATCAAAGAAGGATACGGCGCTACTGCAGGCGACCAATGTTAAAAATAATACTAGCAACTTCATTTTGAAAATCCTGAAAAAATTAACAAGAAATTATATAAAGAAATTCATTCAATTTTATGTATTCTTAATTATTCCATCAAATTCGAGCTAGATTTGATGGTGACTAAAACTAGATAAAAGAAATATTATCTCTCATACCAACTACTTTTCAGTATAATAAAAGTAAACCAGGCAATAAACAAATTGCAACTAAATCTGTTCCACAAAAAAATTGATTCAACCTGATCTATTTTTTGCCATTTAATTTAGTTCAACTTATTCAGCACAATTAAATTTAAAACGCCGACTTGACAAATTGAATGCTCCCAAAACATGTTTTTTTGTAAAATATAAAAATTGCATGTTTAACAATAAATTATTGTTCACACATTTTTTTAATATAAAAAATGTCACAATATACGACGACATTGAATACAATTTTATGATAAAGCAGTCGTGTAGAATAAATTATTTTTAATGATGCTTTTATATGTAATAATATATAAATTGTGATGTATGAAAAGGTGTGATTATATTAGTAGTGATTCGTTAGACATAAATAATTACATACATACATACATACATACATTGAACAATATAATAAAAAAAATATTTCGATTAAGGAAAATAAAGTTTATGCTTAATTTTATTATGAATTATAAAAAATTGGAATGATTTTTGATGGCCAGAATTTAAAATTTAGTATAACGATAAGTAAAACAAAAAAAAAACAAATGTAATTAATGATTTTATATGCAACAATAATAAATTTTACAGTATATAGAAGTATATACAGTAAGTACTAGAATAAATCAAGGGAGTTCTTTTCGAATTCAAAAAACTACAAAATTAACATTTATATTTAAAACTAAATGTAACAGAAAATGTGAAATATCAATTTGTAAATCATGTAACAATTTTTCTTTCAATCATTGAATGATAAGTTGATGAATTTAATTCAAACAGTTTTTTTTTATAGAGAACTGTGACCTTAAAGTTAATTGAACTTTAAAATGTATGATTTAGAATATATATATTTTTATCCATTTTCTCGGTAATTTACGAGTATTTAACACCAGTTGAATAAATATTTGTACGATTTTTTATGTATACTGGGAAATACCGATGATATGTTGCACAATTTAAATTTACATAAATTTCTTTGCATATAATCGGTTCGATAAAACAAATTGCACGTTAAACTGATTTATACTGAAAATTTCAATTTAATATGCAATTAAGTAAAATCCGTAAAAAATTGAATTTTGCATCGTTTTCCAAAATAAATACTTTTAATGTTAATATTCGACTGTAAATCTTGATGAACAAATTTAGGAATATAATTACATATTTATGATTTATGTGAAAATTTACAGTAACTGTAGCAAAGGAAAATCGTAAAAAAAATTTATGCAGACAAGTAATTCAGTAATAAAGTAAAATCCGTAACAAATTCAATTTTTCATCGTTTTCCACAATAAATACTTTAAAAGTTAATATTCGACTAGAAATTTTTATGAACAGGAATAGATAGGAATATAATTACATACCAAGAGACCAAATAAATATAGATGAATATAAAATATCATACAAATAGCTCTCAATTTCACACTTATCATTCAAGTCTCATATAACAGTTATTTTATATTGTAAATTTATACCGATGATTCATTTTTTGTTTGATTATACAAGATAAAACTGGAGAAGGCGAGACGTGTATCACATGATTATCAATTTTCGGCGAATTGAATTCAAAACATTTATATCAGGTTGTATATGAAATAAAATATATATGAATACTCTTATGGTGAGAATGATTGCCAAAACAAAAGATAAGGAGTCTGACTTAATGTTTTAAAATTAATTTATAATTTAATTTATACAGATATTATAAGCATGTTTGAAAGATATCGATTGGTAACCGCATTGATTAAATTTTAGTGAAAACGAAAATTTTATTTTCGAAATAAACTGTTAAAGATTTTACCTAAATAGCTGAATCTCAGTTATTAAATTACGTATCGGAAAATTGCTGCAACTTGCCTTAAGGTAAATTGTCACTGACAACTTACAAATCAATAAAAAAAATAATTCATATATTTTATTCATTATTTTTATAAATTCAGTCATCGTTTTGCAAATACTCATCAGTCACTTTTTCTCTGGACAGATGTTTTAGATTCCATTAAATCGTTCTCATCGTTTTTATGAATCATAAAGACTTGTAATAAGATATGAAAAATAAAAATAAAAATGATACCAGCATATGTTTATAACGCCTGCGGGCAATGATTCATATTTCTGAATAATGATAATGTATATTTTTATATTTAAAATGAATTTAGTAATTGCGAGCTGTTTTTGTGCACTGAGGGTGAAAATGTATACCTATGCAAAGTTACATATGAACCTTAAAATTTACATATTCATAAATTATTTGTTCACGAATATGAAATTTTTGTTGAGTAATTATGTTTAGTCAGTAACTGAATTCCACATTAAAATCCACATTAAAATCCACATTTTAAATAAAAAATTATATAAGATCACAATTAGCACATTACCTTTTTAGGCTATCTATCAAAAAAAAATATTGAATATGAAATTAATCTAATTTATGAGGTATTTATTAGTTGCGTTATTGATTTATGAATATATGAACTTTTTTTTCAATTACAACATTATGGGGTGAAAATTTAAGGCTGTGGGTGTTTTTAATTTCAGGGCTTTAAGACGATCTAATTATATTTTGAATCATGAAAATCTAATTACAATTCTTATTATCTCATTATTATTATTATCTACTAAAGGAATGTAACATTTTCTACACAGGCGTTTGTTTGCAATAAAACAATTGCAGATATCCAAATATTTATATTCAATCTAAAGTCTTTATGGATGTTATTGATAGATGTTTAAGAAATGTATGATGGTTTTTAAAACACAGGAAACAATTGGAAATTTGCTTCCAATATCAATTGATCAAAATATTGATTTCTATATGACTAATTTTAAATAATTGAAATATGTTTCTATTAAGTTGAAATATCAATATATGAAGTTGGACTCGTAGAAATTAGTATTTTGATAAATGTCATGGTAACTATTATTTATAATTATATATTTTATTAATGCTAATGAAACAAAGTTATAAAATGTAACTAATGTTTTTAATTTTTTTTTCAAAAAAGTGCAATTTTGTAAGTGAAAATGATTTGTTTTAAGGAAGGTGGAGTCCAGTGGTCTCAATATTTTAAAAATAAATGAATTTTCTAATAATTTTTTAATTAATTTTCAGAAAATGTCAAAATTGACAATAAATTTCCAAAAAATAGTGCAATTTTGTCAGTGAAAATTGATTTGTTTTTAGTAAAGGTGAGTTTCAGTAGTTTCAAATTTGAAAAAATATCAAAATTTTCTAAAAACCATTTAACATTTCCAAAAAATCAAAATGGCCAATAAATTTCAAAAAATTAGTGCTATTTTGTCAATGAAAATGATTTGTTTGTAAGTAAGGTAGTGTCCAGTGGTATCAAAATTTTGAAAAAAATCAAAATTTTCTAAAAATTTTAACATTTCCAAAAAAATGTCAATAAATTTCCTAAAATTTGTGCGATTTTGTCAGTGAAAATTGATTTGTTTTTAGGAAAGGTGGTGTACAGAAGTTTCAAAATTTTGAAAAAATAAAATTTTCGAAAAATTTGAACATTTCCAAAATTGCCAAAAATTAGTGCAATTTTGTTAGAGAAAATTGATTTATTTTGAGTAAAGATTTCAGTAGATTCAAAATTTTGAAAAAATATCAAAATGTTTTAAAAAATTCAAAATTTCCAGAAAAGTCAAAATTGTCAATAAATTTTAAAAAAATGGTGCAATTTCGTCAACGAAAATGATTTGTTTATAAGTAAGGTAGTTTCCAGTGGCTTCAAAATTTTGAAAAAACATCTATATCTTCTAAAAATTTCCAAAATGAAGTCAAAATTGTCAAGAAATTGCAAAAGGTCGATTTTTTTAGATTTTTTAAGTGTTTTCGAATTTTGAAAATTGTTAAAAAAATCAAAATTTTAAATTACAATATTAGAAGTTCCAGCAACTTGCCTTAAGACAAGATGCCATCCACCACTAGTTGGATAAAATATTACAGATTTATAATAGATTGATAAATACAGACGTTTACAAAACGAATAACAAGAGATTCTCAAACAAAAAATATAATAGTCGAGTAATATAATTCCAAAAACCAGGTACCAAAAAATTTCATACAAAAACTCGAGCAAAAAACTTGATTCACCACGAACAATGGCCATGACTTGTTTACCTTGAAATACCAATTATATAAGACGTAGTTTAACATCCGAAATAAACAAAAACCCGTTAATTTACACGATTTTAGGAATGAAACTATATGAATTCACGCATTAAAAATTATAATAAAATACTAGAGTACATTAATTAAAATTAATAAAGGAACAGTGGTAGATTTTCCTTCGACCTACATAAATCAAAGAATCAGCTGATGCAAGAACGCACTTGTAAACAAGATGTCAAAAGCAAAAACAGATCAATACATTCCAGTCCATTTTACAAAAATATCGTACACATTATACACGCATATATAACTATTTACTTAATTAACATGCTTAGAATATATAAAACTAATAAATACAAAAAATCACTCACCAAAATATCCTCTACCCCTTTATCCTTTAATGTTTCTTGTTCAACGTTCGATTGAAAACTGATGGCTAGTGTTATTAAATGGCCGATTTTATACTAATTATTTGTTATCGCAATGACGATAACCCAGTTGATTAAAACACAGCCACTGACAAATGCTGGCAGATGTTATGACTGACAAACTCCCTTTATTGTTAAAACTAGGATGACTGTACAAGAATAGAAGAAATCGCCATTAGTGTTAACGACGACTATGAACGTAACTGTAAACGCGCAGAGGAGGGGATTCAGTGCTGCCATCTTGTAAAGGAAGAAAATGACAATTTTTTGAATAGTTTACAAATGGTTATTTAAATTATTTATAACATAAAAAGTTTGTTAAGAAGCAATTAATTGATTAAATATATATTTAGTTTTAATATTAACACAAATGTGATCTTAATACTAGTTTATAATTAAGGGATCTGTAGGTCCATCTTTGGGAGGAACGGAAAGTTAAAATTTCAAATTTCAAGTGTATTAAATTTATTATTTAAAATTACAATAATTAAAAAAACAAGTTAAAAGAGACATTTGCCTTAAGGCAAAGGACTTTATGTAAAGGTATATAAGTGCTGACGAGCCATTTTCATTGAAATCTACGTTTAAAAGGGGGTCTTCCTATGTGACGGCCTGTTTTTAGGGATATTTTAGGAATTTTTTCTACGACGAGTAAATATTTAGAGCTTCAAGTTTTTTATCATTTATTAACACATGTTTGGGCAGTATAAAATATAAAATTTCACCAAAAAATATTCAGTCAAACTAGAGTTACAGCGCTCTGAACACCCCCGCCTCGAAAAAAAGAGCTCCCACTTCCTCCACGATTCCGGCTGATCGGCTTATCTGAAAAAAAAAATAAACGGCGTTTTAATTTGTGGGCTTAAAAGCACGAAATAACCTATAATCAAATAAATATAAAAAAATTGGATTTTTGATAGACATTTGAAATAAAAGTTGCAAATTAGGCGTTTTTTTTGTTATTTTGCTATAAAAAAATTCATTCCATGCGTTTAAATTATTGTGCCCTGTAAAATTTCGAATAATTCGGTCCAGCCGTTTCTGGGATACAATCGAGGGAAGTTTGAAAAACACAGTTTGAGAAAAACGCGATTAAAGTTTCTAATGCAACTCGGCGCTCCGAACCGCTCTTTCTTTTACCGCTGTATCTTTAAAACGACTTTCGAATTCTAAAATCGCTTACTACCGTATTCTAGACAGTTAAGGAAGCAATTTATGAAAAACAAATCGATTTTTTCACCCATCATAGAAGAAACCTTCTTAATATTGTATTTAATTGTAGATCTCACTTTTTAGTTTAGGCATTAAAATCTACAGTTTCTTTTTGTTTTCGCTAAAATGTTTTACAGATACGGACACCAAAAATGATTTTATGTTACCATTTGAGTTGCACACTATATTATATAATGAAAATGTATCTATTTAGAAAATGTGTAAAATTGAACCGTCGCAATTTTCAAATAAAGCGCCTCTTGTTCTGTTGCCAACTTCTCATTTTACACTGCAATGACAGCTCATCACTGCATACACAACTAGCGCGACCGGCGGATTAAAATGTAAACAAAAAATTAATGGACGCGAATGACGCGATCTTTATTCGAGTGTGCTAAAATAAGTTGGATTACAGCAATTTGATTTGATTCGTTTTGCAATTTCAAGGCGAAGTTAAGATGATTCTATTACATGACAATCGTGGCGCGTATTGCAAGATAAAGCTTATGAATTTATTTTTTGTAATAATTGTTGTTTGCACGGTTCGATGAAATACAGACTTCATGTATGAATTTCCCAGTAATCTGCGGCCACAATGTCACTGGCCGCTGACTATGATGGGCGGACAGGCCTTATGAAAATGCAACTTTCCAATCCCTTAATTT